ATGACTCCTCCTTCGGATAATACCAGATTTTTAATTAAATTTATATTTTAATTATTTAGTAAACTTCAAAAATTCATATCTTCCTCATATGAACTCTGTTTTCGACGTTCTTTATATCCACGCGTAGGTGAGACTACGATCTACAACTTTCGTTTAGACTCTGTCTGCTAATTTTGACTTTATTTTTAATATTATATTTTTAATAGATCGGGACAGTAAATGTCCGTTAAAATTCCATAACTCCTTCATCCGATGTCTGTTTTCGCCAGACTTTTTACCGTTGTAATACCATTGATGAGATCTTCGATTCTTGTTTAGGTCATGTTGGCAAAAATCTGTTTGATCTCGATTTCGAGTTTTTAGCTGTCTACTGCTATGTCTGAAACTTCGAAAAATCATAACTTCCTCATATAAAGTCAGAGTTGGACGTGCTTTTTATGTACGTTTACGGTTTAATGATATCTAAAACTTTCATTTAGATACCTAAGGCTAAAAATTATTGTATTGAAACTTCGCGTTTTACGTCTATCAGTGTTGCTGGTTTTGCCGAGAATCTTTGGTTGGTCATAACTTCTTCGTTATAACTCGGATTTTAGGGTTCTTTATATCTACGAAAACCTTGATATGATTCCTACTACTTTATTTAACCCAAATAAGATTTTAGGAAAGTTAAATTTTGACCTAAATTTGACTTGCGTTCCATCATATTGCCTCGAAATATCGGGTTGTCACAAAAAGCATTTCAAACCCTTTGTCGATCATCTGGAAGAGGAACTAACACTCCCTGCTTCTCTCTCCTGATTGCTTCATCATATAAACTTAATTGATTTTATACGTTGCTTTCAGAATCCTTCTTCAAACACTCTCCACCAGTAAGCTCACTCTTTGTGCTAATCGATTTGATTTGAATTATAATTTGTCGATTTATGTGCTCATCGTTGTTTTTGATGCACTTTTTATACGCTTTCAATCGGTACGAATATTGAGCTGCTTATTTAAATTAACAACTTCAAAAAATCTCATCGCTCTAATGTGATGGAACTCGATATTGAATTTATAAAGACCTGTAAATATACTGAAACTCTAATTTAAACATGAGGTGATAATTTTTTTGATATACACATAATGGGAACTCGATGTTGAATTCATGAAAAAAGAACGTGTGTTTCCTTATTTTCCATAAGTGTGATTCCCTCTTCAATTTCGCCTCCATCACAGAAACGACGACCTTCCCTCCTCCAAAACACCATATTGTCAGCGCCTCGGCTTCCTCCACATCGTATTATGTACGCAGGGCATACTAGATAAAGTTGGAAACCCTAATTTTCAGGGTTTGGATGGTATTTAAACATCTTTATGGCCTCATTTCTCTTCACCTAAACAACCTCTACCCTCTCTTCGTGATTTGAAACCCTTTAAGCATCTTGTGAGGCCATTTCAAGCATTAAAGAGTGTGTTTGTGTGATTAGAAGAAGAAGGAAGGAGATCAAGCTCAACTTGGAGGAAGAAGCACCTTATATCTGGGATTCGTATTTCATTGCAAGCCTTTCAAGGTATAAAGCTTGCACCTTTGTCTTTTAATCTTGTAGATCTAGAAATGGGGGGTTTTATGTCGCCTTTTTGGTCCCAAAAGTCTCATCTTGTGCATGGATTGTTCTTGTCATTTTGAGTCGTCCTTTTAGACCCTTGGAGGGGTCCTAAGCCATACAAATAAAGTCCCTTTGGTTAGATTTGCTCCATGCATCTTGTAAAATGTCTTAATGGATTAAGACCTTGTGTTAAGAACTTTTTGGACTTGTAAAATCATAAAGTTGGAAACTTTGTGACTCTAGAGCGTATTTGGACCTTAGATCTGAAATATGGGCTTAAGTGCTTAAGCTATTAAGCACTAAATGGAGTTTGGAGGCTGCGAGGGTACGCCCTGCGTACATGGGAATACACACCACGTACCCCGTCAACCACCTCGATGGTGGTCTTCTGCGAGGCTTCGCGTACGCTAAACGTGCCTCCGGGGTACGCCTCGAGTACTCGTATGGGTCAACCTTGTTGAGTTTACTAGGTTGAGTTGACTCGATTGGGTTGACTCGGTTGACTTAGTGGGTTTGATCAGTTGACTTTGACCAAGTTTGACCTTGAGGGTATTTTAGGTATTTTGGGATTTTGATGGAATTGTTCACTTGGTGGAAATAAGTATCGGTTAGAGAGCTGAGATTTGGAGTTGGACCTCACCAGTTCTGTTAAGTTTGCGAGGTGAGTTTTCCTCACTATACTTACTGGTCGAAGGCACCAAGGCCGACCTATCTGTTTGATGATATTCGTTGATATGCTGAGTAAGGAATAGATATGTATGCTAGTTTTGATATGCTAGTTTGGTAGATCAGTAGGAATACATGTGATACTGTCTGTATGATTATCTGTATATGTTAGTATCTGTTATATGTCGACATATTGTGTGGGTTGGGTTGAAGTTGTACTGCTCCGTGCGGTAACCAACAAACCCTTGAGCAATTTAGATATGAGTTAGGGTCGGGTAGGGCATGCTAGACTCGTACCGAGGGCTTGGTGGTATTCAGTCCGATGATTGATCTGGTCAAGGAGCAAGCCAGGCATAAGCTGTGGGTCCCGAGGGCAAGCCAGACTTATGCTGTGGGATTAGAGGTAATTCAGTCTTTTAGTTGTGGACCCAATGCATGCTGCTATTGAATATGTGCTATTTGTTTATGTGTTGGTACTTTGAGGGAACTCACTAAGCTTTGGCTTATAGTTTTGGGTTATATTTCAGATGACCGCGAAGACGTGATTGTACATCTCCTCGTGTTTTGATTTATGATTTTGGGAAAACTCTGATATTAAACATGTTTTGAAAACTATATTGTAAACAATGATGATTTGTGGATTGGTTTTAAAAGTTTAAAATTTTCATGATTTTTATGAGTGTTACATTAAACGAACGAATATAAACAAACAATGTAAATGAATGTTCACAAACATAAATGAACGAATGAGACCATTGTTCATGTTTGTCCGTTTAACTAAATGAACGAGAATTTGTGTTCTTGTTTGTTCATTTATTAAATAAACGAACATAAATGAACTTCCTGCCGAATGATTCGCCGGACGTTCAGTTCGTTTACAGCCTTAGTCAAGACTTTATATGCATTAATTACGTTAGGAAAAACCAACTTTTTCATATATGTTAAAACATCGGTTGTGTTAGTAGTTTCACTCGGTAAGAACTCGTCAATCAACGTTAATTCTAGATAAAGTTAATCGACGTCAATATCTGATCGTTCAACATATTTAAATGTGCTAAGAACTCGTCAATCAACTATAACGACTTGGTGAGTTCAAGAGAAGGAATAGCATTGTAGGGACTTCCGACTTGGATTGACGAAAATAAGATGTTGAATTGACTTTGACGTGATGATAATACCTTTTAATGAGTTCCGTTTTCGAACCTAGATTACTAGTCTATTATAACAAATTATATATAAAAATTGGGTTCCCTCTATGAAATGGATCATGTGCGGTCGCTCACCTTCCACGCCCGGACCTGAAAGACGCTTGTGGCTTTACGAAGCAAAAAAATCATATTTTTGCAAAAAAAAAAAAAAAGTTTATAAACATATTGTTATCTTATTAACTTTTCCAAAATACACCTGATCAAAAGCACTCCAAACACATGTTTTACTCAAGTAAAGAAAGCGTTCCAAACCCTTTGTCGATCATCTGGAACAGGAACTAACACTCTCGCTGCTTCTGTCTCCTGATTGCTTCATCATAATCTTAATTGATTTTATACGTTGCTTTCAGAATCCTTCTTCAAACACTTTCGACCGGTAAGCTCTCTCTTTGTGCTAATCGATTTGATTTGAATTATAATTTGTCGAGTTATGTGCTCATAGTTGTTTTTGATGCGCTTTTTACACGGATTCAATCGGTGCGAAGATCGAACTGCTTATTTAAATTAGCACCTTCATAAAATCTCACCGCTCTGATGTGATGGAACTCGATATTGAATGTATAAAGACTTGTAAATATGCTGAAACCCTAATTTAAACGTGAAGTGATAACTCTTTTGATATACACATAATGGGAACTCGATATTGAATTCATGAACGCGTGTTTCCTTACTTTCCATAAGTGTGATTCCCTCTTCATTCTTGCCTCCATCACAGAAACCACGACCTTCCCTCCTCCAAATCACCATATTGTCGGCGCCTCCTGACCTACGGCCTATATGTTCACAGTTGTTTTTGATGCGCATTCTATACGGATTCAGTCACCACGAAGATTGAATTGCTTATTTAAATTCTCAACTTAATAAAATCTCACAGCTTTTATATGATGGAACTCGATATTGAATTTATGAAGACCTGTAAATATTCTGAAACCCCAATTTACACGTGAAGTGATAATTCTGTTGATTATACATAATGAGATGAGAATGGAGAATGAATATAAACAAAGAAGGAAAAATATAAAGATATTTACTTGATCACTTCTACCATCGACTCCAGGGTCTAATTTATGGGTTATAATCGAATTAAAAATTTTCAGCTTCATGGAGACATTCAAGTGGCATAAGTTTATAAAGATTGTGACTTACTGGTGATAAATTGGTACCAACAAAATCATTACTTAATTTGCATTTATCAAGATTGATTCTGTGGCATGTGTAAACTACTTGCTTTCAATGCACACTTTTTTTTGGTATTTAGTCAAATTCTGCCTGATATAAGGATACATGTTAGTAATTAAGAACTTAGTTTACTTGTAGTTATCAATATTATAATGTAGAAAGAAAAAGGAAGTAAAGTAAGATACTTTGAGTTCATGGTTCAGTGATTCTCTTTTCTAGTTGGTTCAGTTTGTTCAGTTATTTAGTCTTTGAGATGAACCCTGTATGGCATATTTTGATAACTTTTTTTAATCAGAAATTTAATATTATACTGGATGGGAAAATGGACCTGAAGTAGGAAGATAAAGCATTTCTTTGGATGTTATGTCATCAAACCCTTTTGGCAAGTTTGCAGCATCTTTCTCTCATTATCATCTGGAAAGGATTTGGATGACAGTGTTATTTTGATTCAGTCCACAATAAAGTCAAGGTATCTCTTTTAAAAATATTTCTTGTTGGTTTCAGTTTCATAATTTAATCTGCATATAAAGGACCTATATTTGTATCTTCTCAAGTCTAATTTCCATAGTGAAAGCTTATTCTGGATCATATTTGGTTTTTCTATATAACCAGGAAATGCCTCGCAAAGTATCATATGGAGTTGATTTTGATGAAGAGTATGATGCTTATGATGATTATCATGATGATTATGATTATAATCATGGCAATGGCATAGATGAAAACGAAACTGGTAATTAATCTTCTCTTGAGTTCCCATGTTTTTGATGGAATCAATCTAACTAAACTAATTGTATCTTTTGACTTGAATTCCTATTTACAGCTTGGGAACCTCCTGTTACAAAAGAAGAAATAGTGTATCAAAATGTTTGGCGTTGTCCTATTTGTACATATGATAATGATGAATATATGTCTTCATGTGATATATGTGGTGTCCTTCGCAACCCTTTAATCAAAAGCTCCAACAATGGCCAATCAAGTACAGGTACTCATATGTTCATGTTCTATTACATATTTACATTACACCCTCATAAATGAAAATATATCAATTTGGTCCCTTCACTCTCCATGGATTGTTGACTTACTAACATTTATTCAATATACATCACAAAGTTCAAAACTTTACTCAGATATAATTCCAAAACTTCATAGCTTTATTCAATATACATCACAATGAGCTTGTGCTGAATAATAACTTGAAAATTAGGGAGCTTACATACCTTTGAGAGTTAGGACTTTTTTTTTTTTTGTCTAATAGAGGAATCCTCTCCTTTCTCCTAGTGTCTTCATAGATTAGATTTTTTAATGCAGTTGATGGAATATGCACAAACTTTGGAGCATCAATGATGGCAAAGTCTCTTTTTACATCATTGCCATATGAGTCACCAAGAGGGGGTGTAACTGTAAACTTTCAACCACAGAAAGATGATTCTTCAAGAAAAGAGGACACATTCTCTCTTCACGTGCATGGAAAATTCCATGATTTACATAATGCCATTATCTCTGAAAAATCTTACAAGGTTAACATAGGTTTGCACATGCTCTTGACATAGATGACATCAAATATCAAATAAATAAGTTTAGTAACTACCCTTGAGTCCTTGACCTTGCCTTTTTTTGACTATTTCAGCCCCTTTCAAGTTTGATACCCCATCTCCAGATGATGTTGTTTCTTTGGGATTGAAGTCTTACAAATTAGGTTCCAAAGGTACTTGTTTTGTCACCATTTGGAGTTCAAGGAACTTTATACTTCTAGTCTTCCGTATAGGTTCTCACTCAGAAAGTCTGTTATGCACCCTCTTCAGTCACGTATTTTTAGATAGGGGTAGTTTGGGAAATCATCAAATAAAGAGAATCTTATTAGGACAGGGGCATTTTAGTCATTTTATATTAGTTACTTTTGTTATGAAAGATAGTTTGGCTGATTCTCTTTCCCACTACCCTCTTATACCATCTGTCATAACAAACTAACTAATATAAAATGCCTAAAATGCCCCTAATGCCCCTGATTCTCTTTACTTGATGATTTCCCAAACTACCCCTATCTAAAAATATGTGACTGAAGAGGGTGCATAAGTTAAAATTTCAAGATTTTTGATATGTGATTACCCAAGATATGTCATTAGGACACTTTTCTAGTCTTCCTTTTTTTGGCAAGAGCAAAGATAGAGAATAATTGGATTGATTCTGGAAGAAGTTGTTCTTTTCAACCAAAGACATTCTTACATAAACACGTGATTTAATTTATATTAACATGTAGATGTATAATGTATAAGTAGTTATATCATAACTTCATAAGTAATATCTTTAAAATTGTGTTGCTTTTATGTACATGATTTCTGTTATGCATAAAAAAATATTCATTACTTTCTAATTGAAATCTAACATGTTTATTCTTTTTCAAATTAAATAGTTGTACCCAACTTGGAGAAACCATCCACTTCTGATGCTCCTTCCAACAAGAAGATTGAAAATGCCAACTTGAAGTCAAATGCTAAATCTTCCAACAAATCACCACCATTGATTTCAAAAGATAAACCACAACACATGGAGAACAATAACATGACACAAACACATAAGATTTCCAGCGAATTTAACAACATGACCATGAGTGCCGAATCTGGAACTTCCAAAATTGCAAACAAGGGTAAAATGGGTAAAACGGGTATAACTGCATCTCGCTCACAGTATAAACCTGAGAAGTGGATGCTACTTGATGAAGGAGAAGATCGTCTGAGTCAGCTAAATCTTGCTATTGTAAGTGTCAACACATTATTTTATAAAAAAAATAATAATTTGTCATTGTGAATTGTGATGCTAAGTTGCTAACAAGTTGTATTTGAGACATTTACAGGTTGGGCATGTGGATTCTGGAAAGTCAACACTTTCAGGAAGGCTGCTACACCTTTTGGGACAAATATCTCAGAAACAAATGCATAAATTTGAAAAGGAGGCTAAATTACAGGCATGAAAGTTGAATGTTACTAAAATACACCTATAAGTGAAAGTATGTTGTGCTAATTTTGTGTCAAAAAAAAAAAAAAAAACAGGGGAAAGGTTCGTTTGCTTATGCATGGGCATTAGATGAGAGTGCTGAAGAACGAGAAAGGGGGATAACAATGACAGTTGGAGTTGCCTTTTTCAACTCTAAAAAACACCATGTTGTGGTGTTGGATTCACCAGGGCATAAAGATTTTGTCCCAAACATGATATCAGGTGCAACACAAGCAGATGCTGCAATTCTTGTTATTGATGCATCACTTGGTGCGTTTGAAGCAGGTATCGATAGTGCAGGAGGTCAAACACGGGAACACGCACAGCTGATTAGAAGCTTTGGTGTTGATCAAATCATTGTTTCTGTCAATAAAATGGACGCTGTTCAATACTCCAAGGAAAGGTTTGATAATATTAAACTCCAACTTGGGGTTTTTCTTCGTTCTTGTAATTTTAAAGATTCTAATGTCACGTGGGTCCCGTTGAGTGCTATGGAAAATCAAAACTTGGTTGCTCCTCCTTCCGATGCTCGATTGCTTTCCTGGTTAGTTTTCTTTTTTCATTTACATGAAAAAAAAATCAAATTAAGCATTATATTAATTTGGTTGTTGTAAGTTGTAACTTATAAATTACAATACAGGTATAAGGGAGGTAGTTTGTTGGAAGCCATAGATGCGTTTCAACCTCCTGCTAGAGAATATTCTAAGCCTTTATTGATGCCTATTTGTGATGTCATCAAACTCCCATCTCAAGGTCAGGTATCTGCATGTGGGAAGTTAGAATCCGGAGCTCTTCGAAATGGAACAAAGGTAGTTTACTTTACTTTGATTTCTTTGTATTATTATTCACAATATAAAGAAAAAAAAAATATATGGATTTTTCATTTTAAAGGTTATGATTCTGCCATCTGGAGACATTGGAACAGTTCGATCTTTAGAACGTGATTCACAGGCGTGTAGCATTGCAAGAGCTGGAGATAATGTAGCTGTTACTCTACAAAATATTGATGCAAATGTTGTGATTTCGGGTGGTGTATTGTGTCACCCTGATTTTCCAGTGTCGGTTACAAACCATTTGGAGTTGAAGATTCTTGTTTTGGATGTCCAAACGCCAGTTTTAATCGGCTCTCAGGTATTATTTATTGGAAAAGACATAAATGCCCCTCCCTCTCGTAAACTTACGTGTTATTTATTATATATACATGAGCAGTTGGAGTTTCATATACACCATGCAAAGGAAGTAGCAAGAGTTTCAAAGATTGTGTCTTTGCTTGATGCAAAAACAGGGAAGGTTACTAAGAAGTCACCAAGATGTCTCTTATCCAAACAAACTGCCGTAGTTGAGGTTTGTTATTGTTAAATCTTGTAATCATGAGTTATTTTCAAATGTATTAATTTATTTATTTATTTAATAACCTCATCAGGTGATGCTTCAAGGGGAAGTATGTGTGGATGAATTTTCAAGTAGCAGAGCTCTTGGGAGGGTGTTTCTGAGATCATCAGGGACAACTGTTGCTGTTGGTGTGGTAACTAGAGTTATAGTAGATGACCAGAGTTAGTTATATTATCATATTTATTTATGGTATAACTAGTGTAGTAGTTGTCATGTCTCATTTTGACCACTTTGACTTGATACATGCCCTTATAAGTAAGTTATAACAAGTTGCATGCGGAAATGTTTTGTAAGTTGTGTTGAGTGAGTGTATACAATTTTGTATCCATCAGGTAGTTTTTTGACTAATTCTGCTTCCATAATTTATGTAAACAACTTGTTTCACATGCCTGCAGTTCTTACTATATGAGTCGAGTGTTATTTTAGCTGAATAAATGCAATTTAAAAATATATTCAAGGAAAAGGGACTTGCTTGAATACTGTTTCCATAAGCTATGTAAAAAGCTGTTTACCCATCTTTTTTTTTTTGATTCAAAATTGCGAAAATGTTCTAAAAAATTTGTCAAAATTATTTGGTTTTGGTCCAAAAAGATTTGATGGTGTACCAATGGTCCAAATTTGAATACTTATTTTTGGTTTTTATGAGCTTCAAAAGACTATTATATATATATATTAATTTATTAAAAATAGAAAAAAAGTTCCACCTCTTTCTCTCTCTCTCGGCCACCATAATCGCCAGAAAAATGTGCTTGATGGGTTGTATCCGGTTAACCACCATCACCACTTCTTTGCTATAGCTCTTCCACAACATCCATTCTCGTTGTCAACCGTCAACATCGCCACCCGCGGGAGTTCATCCGGATCGGGATACAAATCTAGATTGAGAAGTTCTCTGTCTCTCTTTTCTCTCTCTTATGTTGTTATCATCATCAAATCTGGGCATAAACAAAGTTAAGGGAGATGACAACTATCATCAACTACCATTGCCAACATTGCTATGAAAAACTACTACTGCTTATTCGATTCTCCATTGGAAAATCGTGTTCATCCAAATGCCAATTGACCCACCTATAGTCCCTACATACTTCTCCCTTTCTCTATCTAACAGGTGATATGATTTCTATAACGATTTTCGATTTCTGGATCTTGGAAAGGGACAATTATGGACTTGGAAACATTTCCTGGTTGTCGATTCACCCCTACATTCACCAAATCTAGGGTACACAAACCTAGCCACCATATACTTGAAAAAATCGTCATCTTTACATCAGGGTTCATCTTGGTGGTGATGATACAGATGGCTGGAATAAAAGGTTCAAAATAAGTGGAGACTGGAAGGGGTTCTTCGGCTGATGTGGTGTAGGTGGTTGTTGGTAGTGGTATAAGGGTGCTTTAAGGAGGTTCCTGTAAAGGTAATATAGTGGGTGTCATAGGAGAATGGTGGTATTCCGATGAGGAGGGCGATGGTCTGTCGGTGGTGGTTACCAGGTGGTGGTGATTCCAAATATTAAAAAGAAATTAGGAGGGGTGAGATGGGTAGCTGACATTTTTTCTTGGTTTTTAATTGAAATAATAAGAAATTAATAGAAAGAAATTAAAAAAGAATTAATTAATGGTATTTTCGTCATTTCAGGTAAGGTATAGACCAAAACCACATAATAATGCCAACAATAGAGACCAAAAACACATGAAGTATCCAAATTGGACCACTAACCACCAAACTTTTTTGGATCAAAGTCACAAAATTTTGACAAGGAACCATTTTTGCATTTTTTTTCTTCTTCAAAAGAGATGCTTTGAAATTTATAAACAAAAGAAAAGGAACTTGCTCGAATCAAACTCCTTAATCGATGAGCCAAGGCACATTTCTGTAATTAGTTATATCATTTTTTAATATATTGTAAACTATAATATGTATTTTCAAAAATAAATATGTATTTGTTTGAGTTGAAAAAGGCCATTGCAACTAGAGTGGTTATTCCCCTTTCTCATTTTTTAGTTTTCCCGTTTAATAACCTTTCCCCTGATTTTGAACATAAAATTAATTGTGTTATATGCCGTATCAAACCGGTTTACAATATATTTGAGAAAATATGTAATTAATTACAGATACAACCATTGGCCTTCTCGTTGTAAAGACCTCATACAACAAGGTGAGATTTTCGGTTTGATTCTTATCCACTCCATTCTACACTTTTTTTCGTTTTCGCAAACATAATATATATAATACATGTAATTAGCAAGGGTTAAGGTGTATCTTACACCTAATATGATATCAAATATTTAAACAAAAATACATTTTGTAGGGCCCACTTGTGAAATAACAACAACTATCAATATCTGGCAAGCACCTAATGAAATAACTAAAAACCCAAGTTAACAATGGGCTTAAGCCCAGATAGCTGAGGGTGCACCACTGCACCCTGCAATCCATGCTCCAACAACCAAACGACGCCGGATGCCCCATTTCTTCCTGTTCTCGACTCCAAAGTCCAAACCCTTAACAAAACAAAACCCCCAGATAGGTTTTCGAAAACCGTATTCGTTCGATTAACAGTAGTTGTTATATGATTTGAATCTGTGTTTTTTCTTCTGATAATGTCGTCATCTCTGTTTATTCAACGTTTCGGGAGAACAAAGAGCTTAACAAAGAGGTCTACTAAGAAGTATTTGGAAGAAGCGCTTTACAGGCGGCTTCTTAAAGATGGCGGATCAGATGTTAGTGTTCGACAAAATTTGAATCAGTTTCTTAAATCCAAAAAGAAAGCTTACAAATGGGAGGTGGATCACACGCTCAAAGTCCTTCGCAGTCGCAAGCGTTACGCCTCTGCCCTCAAGGTGATTATGCTCTCCTTTCCCCCTTTTGAATCTTGCTCTTACTATTCTGTATTCGATAGGAAATGATTTTACTTAACTAGGAGCTGTAGTTACTAATACAGGATTCAAACACATGAACTCTGGTGAATTTTCTGTGTGAATTAGAGATAGAACTAAGTTTTCGATGTACTATGAACTATCCTTTATAAAATGCCCTAATTGAAAATGTTGCATAATGATTCCTTTACAAGGTAAAATTTTATGGAGTTTGAATTCAAATACAGAAATGAGCATGGATCATATAAAAACTAGACTTTCAATTTTATGAGAAATCGACTGAAATTCTTATAAGTAGCATGCAAATTGAGGAGAAATAGAGGGACTTGTTCCTTTTAGATTCAGAATTCAGTTTTTTCTTTAAATCAGAACTCCAGAAATGTTTCACATAGGCTATGAGCTTCACACTGTTTTACCAATTTCACCTCATAAATTCTCCTATAACATTTACAGCTATCAGAAACCATGGCAGAAAGAGGCATGAACAAGACAATCACAGATCAAGCCGTCCATCTAGACCTAATCTCCAAAACCCTTGGAATAACAGCCGCCGAATCTTATTTCATTAATCTCCCAGAACAATCAAAAAACCACTTCACATATGGCCCACTTCTAAACCACTACTGCAAACACCAAATGACAGAAAAAGCCGAATCCATGTTTCAAAAAATGAAAGAACTAAACCTAACTTTAACCTCCCTCCATTACAACAGCATCCTAACCCTATACGAAAAATCCCAACAACCCGAAAAAATCCCACAAATCATCCTCGAAATGAAGTCAACCGAAGTCAAACCCGATGTCCTAACCTACAACATCTGGATGAGGGCTGTTTCCGCCATGAACGATATCTCCGGGGTCGAAAGAGTAATTAACGAAATGTCAAGGGACGAAAACGTTTCTCTAGACTGGACAACGTATTCGAATCTCGCATCGATTTACATCGATTCTAATTTGATCAAAAAAGCCGAAAACGCCCTCAAGGAATTAGAAAAGATAAATTCCCACAAGAATCTCTCGGCTTTTCAACATTTGATTACGTTATACGGAAAGACCCGGAACATTCTAGAAGTTTACCGCGTATGGCGTTCGTTAAAACTCGCGTTCCCGAAAACCGCGAATATTAGTTATTTAAATATGATTACGGTTTTGGTGAAATTAAATGATTTACCGGGAGCTGAGAAATTGTTTCGGGAATGGGTTTCAGGGTGTTCGAATTATGATATTCGAATTGTGAATGTTTTAATCGGAGGTTATTTAAAAGAGAATTTATTTGAAAAAGGTGAAGAGTTAAAAGAGGTGTCACGTAGGCGAGGTGGGAAACCGAATTCGAAAACTTGGGAGTTGTTTTTGAATTATTATTTGGAAAAAGGGGAGATTGGAAAGGCGGTTGAGTGTGTTGAGAATGCGATTTCAACCGGGGAAAAGTGGGGCCCGGCGGTTACGGTTGTTGGGAAGATTATGGGACATTTTGAGGGGATTAAGGATGTTGATGGGGCAGAAGGTTTTGTTAGGGTTTTGGAGAAGGTTGATGGTGGTGGTGGTGTGGAGGTGTTGGAGGGTTTGATTCGGTGTTATGCGGCGGCTGGGAGGACGAGTGCGGTTGTTAGGCGAAGGGTAAAGATGGAAAATGTGGAGTTGAGTGATGAAGGGAAGAGTTTGCTTGAAAAGATATCGGTTGCATGAGTTTTTTTTTTTTTTTTTTTTTTTTTTTTTTTGTGATTTTGTTTTTAATGAAAGATTTTTATAGCCAAAGTTTGGTGGCTTTTTGGTGGTGTTGCAGTAATAATGATGAAATTGAATGGTTTTAATTTTTTAGAGTATATTACAGATTTGTTTTAGATATGGTTAAAAAATTGAAGCTTGTTGTTTCTTTTATATCAATTGCATTTAAAAATTGAAATTCATTTGGATTAAACATTATGTGTTTCAACGATGGGTATATGGGTCAATTGCTCGGAATGTTATTCATTTTTTCGGTTTCTTGCGTAATATAATGATTTGTAATTAAAGCTTTAATGAAATGAAACATTGTGACATGAAGAAGCATCTCTAGAAGATTGTGATTAAATATTTAGACTATGCGGAAAAAATATATGAACCAAGAAACGATTGGATGAAGAAACAATTTCCAGCATAAATACATACAAAGATTTTTATATTAAGAGATGATTGAATGATGTGTAAAATGGATGTTTCATATATGATTTTGCTTTAGGGCTAATAAGAGATAAATAAGTATATTATATTAGATTAGGTTGTGTGTAATCACAATTTTCTTTAATAATAATGGTGTATTTTGTTGTTGTGATTGAGTATTAGCTCTAAAATAAAACCCTATATGGATTACAACCTAATCAATTCTCTATAAATATGATAAAAGTATTAAATAGAAATTTAGTAAAAAATTGTTTCTTTAAAAGTGCGGATTATTTATTGTTTACGAAATTCTGATACATTAAAATAAAAATCCGTTGTAGTCTAGTTGGTTAGGATACTCGGCTCTCACCCGAGAGACCCGGGTTCAAGTCCCGGCAACGGAATCTTTTTTTTTTTCCCTTGTAAAAGAAAATATTCAACACTTTTTACATTACAAATTGTTAAAGTTTTTCAACATGAAAAATCAACAACAAATTAATCAACTAACAAATAAACCGCTAAAAAAAAAAAATGTATATCGGATATTAATAAGAAACAAACAGAATTCATATATTTTTAGGGACAATTTGGATTACTTCCAGGGCCTCCAAAAAATATATAATTACCCCAATTGCTACTGTACCCATTACTAAAATCATAACAATTCATGTTCTCTGCAAACAATTGCAAATCTGAAACTGGATGTAACATATTATTTTGATCAACCATTTGAATGTTATTAATATATGCTGCTTTCCCAAACCCTTCACTCGAGAAATTACCACTACCCATTTGAGTTGTTGTATGTGGACCTTCAGGACTAGTATTATACACCTCTCCCCCGAATTCAATCTTAGCTGCATGATCATGAAGGTCTGTGAACAATTCTTTAGGCCAATATCCAACTTGAATGTTTCCCACCATCAAACACCAATTTCCATGTCCCGGATCCTATAAAAATCAACATAAAATACAACTTATATATCACTTATAACAAATTTCAAAACATGTATATAATAATATAAATCATCCAAGTTACACTTTAAGACATGTAACTCGTGAAATTTTTTTATAGCTTACTTGATAGATTAAAGATGTACCTTCCAGATTAATATTGTGATATCAAACTGGTTACTATTGTACGTTGAAATTGGAGCAATACTAGCACCAAGGCAAAACTCATGAGTTGTTTGGACGAATCCCGCACAAAGCAAATCATAGCATCCAGATTGATATCCATCGTTCTGTAATATTTTTGGATAAAAAACTATCAACATCAATATCAAATCAATGGAGACCCTTTAAAAATTTTGATTTAGTGTATTCTTTCATAGTTTCGTTGATATCAAATTATCTTAGATGAAAAGTAAAGAACCAATCTATTTGATATAATGTAATAATTACCATCGAGTATCAATGTCAGATGTACGTTACATTTATTAAAATAAATGACATGTGGTACATTACTTACATTATACATGCTGAAAAAAAGTTTATTTATAGTTGTTAAAGTATAATATAGACATAATTACATGAATGGTCACTGAGGATTTCCAAAACTCACATGGTGAGGCAACTAACAAAACGGCTACGCATTTGGTCCATATGTTTTTAAATATTGACTGCCTAGTCCTATATTTTCAGTGTCTTTCATGCAGATTAACAAGATAAATTAACACACACACACATATATATATATATATATATATATATATATATATATATATATATATATATAATGATGGAGTTTGAGGTTTTGATTCAAAGTCAGATTTTTGATTTTAAGTGGGATGAGTGTGGACTTCTAATTAAATATATATACATTAAAAGATACATGATATTAAAAAGGATATAAATTTCATTTTACATGCGTACGTACAAGAAAAAAGGGATATGATTTACAAACCGCAAGGACCGATCACGTAAAAGTTTTGATAGTTGTCATCACCATACAAGTTTTGACAAATGATAGGTACCAATTTGTGTAATTTTGTCTAGGTAAATTGATTAAAATTTATTCAAAGAAAAATGTAATATTTCTTTTAAGACGATCCCAAAATAAAAATATTTGCATTGTCAATGAAAATGTTTATGAACAAACATAAAACTTACAGTCCAGTAAGTGAAAAATCTTGGCAAACCGTCTCCGTGGATTGTTGGAGGTACCTGTTGTTATAGATACAGTTATAATTCTGTAAACTGTTAAGACGCCTGTTGGCATTTCAGCCTTCCTTCGCCTTTCATGGCCACATATCTTTCTGGCTAAGGAAATTATTTTACTCTCTCTCACATACACAAACATATATATATATATATATATATATATATATATATATATATATATATATATATATATATATATATATAAAGTTTTAATATGTAACTATTTATTTATTTATTGCTGAATAATGATATAAAGTTGTTGATACAAAATTCATTTCAGAATAGTAACATAAAAATAATATTTTTATGTTCTCACATTATTTACTGTTTTTATTTGAACTATCCCCTCTCTCTCTCTCTCTATATATATATATATATATATATATATATATATATATATATATATATATATATATATATATATATATATATATATATATATATATATATATATATATATAAAGAGAGAGAGAGAGAGAGAGAGAGAGAGAGAGAGAGAGAGAGAGAGAGAGAGAGAGAGAGAGAGAGAGAGAGAGAGATGTATATATATTTACCTGCCAACCAGCTTCAACCGTCTGAGCAAAATGATTTGGAACTTCAGAACTAACCCAAATTTGCGAAACGCTAAATTCATCAAAATTAGTAACATTCGGAGCCCATACATTTAAAGTTGCTTTTGCTCCATAATATTCTCCTCCTCTTACATACCCAATTGCATGCTGGAAATACAGTTATTAGTATATACTCCTTTTTAATGAAAAAAAGTTACAAATTTTGATACACATAAAATGAAACATCCATAATCTAATACAATTAACTGATGTGAGTGTACGAGTTATTTATTTATTTATTTTTTATAATTATTTCTTAATATGTAAAATCCTTAAAACTCAATTAATATTGTTCTTAAATTACACGACGGTCAAACATCAATTAAAATGGTACGTGTAAGAAAATTAAACCAATTTTCTTCTTACTTTTTAATAATTTGTTTGAAAAGCATCAAAAAATCATTTAAAATTTACAAGAAAAAAACAATAATAATAATAATTTTAGGTAATATTTACATAGTTGATTGTTTTGTTTAATTCTAGCTCTTTGCTAGATTGGTTTTTCATATGTTCAAAATAAAAATGACATAGTTGATTGTCATTTTTGCATTAAACACATCAGTTATAGTGTTATACCATCTTTGTAAGATTGATTTGAGAAACAAGAATAGTTGAAAAAAATAAATAAATCCCAAACTGATGTATTTACAAACAATAAACATTTGTAAAATGGATAGTTGATTTTAAAGGGCTAAATGCAAAATAATAATAATAATAATAATAATAATAATAATAATAATAATAATAATAATTAAAACGAAAGTTGAACATACTTGAATTTTCATATAATTTAATAAAGTTAACATTTTGTTCATCATTTATATAAATATTACAAATTACAAAATTAGTAATAAAATAACATGTTTCATTTTATAAAGTTAAAAAGTGGTCATTAGATATATAAAAAACACTTTTGTACAAGAACAGCTTAGAAAATGTTCATGTTTTACAAGTACACGATTCTTTTAAGATTTTCTTTCCAATATTATCATTTTCTTTTTTATTAATTTTTTATAATTATAGACTCTCAAAGTTAAAACTTGAGGATTCTAACGCAGATCAACTTTATTTTAAAGTATTTCATACCAAGTAATTACTACCATGTCATGTTGTTTTGATGTAAGAAATCACATAGAAATGTTGTACCTCATGGCCCACGTAAATAGAATTTCTCTTGAGAAGTTTTTTCCCAAATTTGGAAATAGAATTGGATCTCAAAATCTCACTTTCTGTTTGCCTTCTTATTGGAATTGTTCCTTGTGGGCATGATTCACCTTTTGAATTCCATAACTGCTTAACTTCTGTTTTCATTCCCCCTTTCTTATTCCCATTTGGTATCTTCGGTGGATCCTATTCATTTATTTAATTATTCAAAAAACCCAATTAAAAATTGTACACATACATATACGGAAGGAAAATATAAATAGAAATTGAATACTACATATAAAGAAACAGGTTAAGTATACCATGGGCATGGTTGTTTTCAGCATAGGATATTTATCAAAAGCTGGTTGAAGTTGAAACAAAACACAATCTATTACATCACCATCTGGGGCTCTGATTCAACAACAAAAGTAAACAATATAAAAAAATAAAAAATAAATAAAACGAACAAATCAAGTAAAGTAATAAAATAAAATATAAGTGTCACCTTAATTGATTTCACAAAGGGTCTGATTGTTTTTGCCAAGAGTAGCTTTAATCGACTTCATCTTCTTTGACTCGAAGGTTTTGTTTGCATGTCTTAAATCTATTGTCGAGAAAACAGGAGAAAGCAATAAGAAAAACAAAAAGAAAACTGAAAAAGTTGAACTCATCTCACTACAAGCACCCGACTTCATTGTTGTATATGTTTATATAATGCAACACAGAATTTGTGCGTGTTTTCTTTATTTTTAGCTTCTTGTTGTGTAATTACACTACTTTTTGCGACCAGAACTGAACAAAAACAAGTTCCAATTGCATCGATTGAAATTTAAGATATCAATTGTTGGAGAGTTTGCTTAAAAGAATACGATTTAATAGATATTAATACTACGAGCCGAGCTTTCAAATATTTGCTATAATAAATTTAATTCCAAATATGAGATTTAGAGAAAATCGAGAATTAAATGTAATTGGCCAATAAATGCAAAGTAATTGATTATTTTTTCTTTAAAAAAGTTAAATATGTGAAATTAATCCATATATGTTTATGAATTAAATTCATTTAATCCATTGTTTCTTTGAAAAAAAAGAGTCCATTTACGGTTCACCTACATATGAATTCCTTTCTTTTTTGAACGGCTAAATGTATTAAACTAATTAGGAGCTAGCAAAAGAAAACGGAAAAACAATCGGTTCATGAATGGGTTTATCATCCACCCATTCCAATTTTTTTTACCCTACTACAAAACAATTAAACGAAAAAGACACATTTGAATAAAAAAGAAACTCTTTCCTAAACTTCTCGTTGGCGAACACCAAAGTATTTCTGAACATCCACAACAACCATAAATGCGTTAAACAAGTGGTATACAATATAACACGACGGTAGTTACTACTCCCTTAAGCATCAATCCGATCAAAAAGATCCACAAAATCTTGAAAAGAAGACAACACTTCATCAAACCACAAAGCAAGCTTTTTCCAGAGCTGAACCGCTAAAGGACATAAATGATCAACATCCTTCTGTTGAACATTGCAACACGGGCACGACACTTACTCCACATCAATCCCTCGTTTTGCCAAATTAGATCTAGTCGGCAACCTGTTAAGCACCAATCTCCAAATAAAAATATTAATTTTAATAGGAACACACTTATTCCATATTGTAACTCCACCACCAATAGGCAACATATGATGATCCAAGTGGAATCTAAGAGATTTAACCATGAAAACATCTTCATCGCCAAACTCCCAAGACCACGAGTCTAAACGATCTGTGATTTGAAACGAACTAAGAACCTCCATCAATTGAATATATTACGTTTGAAGGGCTCCACCACCAAGAGGTATACGACAAGTAAAGAGCAAATTCTGATCAACCTAGTAGTCACTAACCATACTACCGCCATGAGTTGCCAAAGCATAGAGTCTCGGAAACCGGGCTTTTAGAATCACATCTCCACACCACACATCAAGCCAAAATCGAGTATCATTCCCATTGCCAACTTTCCTCTTAAAGCAATCATAAGGAAACAACAAAACATCATGAAGGGGTTGGACAAATGGACCCCTTTCATCTTTATCTTGGCTACAAACTATGAAGGGCTTCATGTGACTATGAAGGAGACATGTGAAAAAACATTTAGTCCAAGGTATTAATCTTTCTAATACTAGTCTTATCTTAACCTACTTAATGTATGTCAATGATATTATGTTCATCGATTGTTTGAATCTAAAAAGGCTTCTTAGATGCTTTCATTTGGCATTCAGATTAAATGTCATCTTTACTCCAAGTAAGGTTTTCGATATTGGAATTTGAGATATGGATGTGTCCATTATGGAAAAACTTCTTAATTTTGGTATCAATACTTTCACTTTATTTATTTGGAGTATCCATTGGAGCAAATATGAAGTTTTTTAAACATTAGAACCCAATAGTTGAACGCTTCAAAGCAAAAATAAATTGTTGGAAATCTGTTAGGTGCATTTTGTGCACCTATTTTGTATGTATATTTATGTATTTTCATTGCATTTTACTTCCTACTTCTTGCATTTAGTAAACAATTTGGACACTTTCATATTTTATTCGGAATGTCTGGTACTTCATTATTTTTGACTTATTTTGTAGGCATTATGGAGCTTGGAGCATTGGAGACGAGCACAGAGCAAGGAGCATGGAGAGAAGATGGATCAGACGTGTTGTGGGTCGAAGTTAGAACGAAGATAGAGTCTGGTTTAAAGACCAAGTTTTAACAAAAAGAATAGTTTGATTCAAAAAACATGGTCAAACACATGATCATGCTGAAAACACATGGTCATAGGGCTAAAAATGCATAAACATGGTTGCAACTCTCATTTGCTTTCAAAAAAACACATGGCAATGCCAAAAACGCATGGTTTGAGTCTGACCACATGTGTTTACCCATGAGCACGTGTGCCATTACATTTTTGTGCTAAAAAGGAGGAATCTAGCTCATTATTGGGGAGACGGTTTCTCGAGCAACTAGAGGCGATTTTTGGAGAATTTTTGGAGCTTTTGAAGATATCAAATCATTGCAAAAAAATAAATAAACTGATATCCATTTGCAAGCATTAAACAGTTCCAATTCCAATCTTTTTATTGGTTGATTTGTTCTTAGCCATGTGTGGCTAAGAAACCCTAATTTCCATTTATGTATTTTCATTGCATTTTACTTCCTAATTCTTGCATATAGTTAACTGTCACACCCTCAAATCAGAACGGCGGAAACGTTCGAGGGCGAATGACTTCATGTAGTACCGTAACAATTGAATACATAGTAAAGAAAGCAATATAACCATCATATATATAATTGAAAGTTTACATTGCTGAAAGCTACATGTTCAAAACCAATTACAATATGATGTCAAAATATGAATTTAAACTAGCGCCGTAGCGTCCCTTCTTCAAAAGCTGTTTGTTACCTGTAATTACTGATTCCCTAGGACATACAAGTAGTTTTGAAAGAGTAGATCAACATTTAAGCTAGTGAGTTTCATAAGTATTTAATGATAATGTTTGTATGAACTAAAATGAAATGGTTTGTTTGATCCTAGAAAATCCCATATTTTCTACTGGTATAGATGTAGCCTTCTACCAAGACCAAGGTTTGTTTCTAGAAAATTTATGTTAATCCATATGTGGGTGGCAGTTTTAAAAGTTCTAAAACTGTAACATAATAATGTTTTTCATGCCTAGAGTAGTCAATTTATGTACGTATAAAATTGCCAAGACGACTGAAAACCCCGTAAATCAATGTGTTTTTAATACCCCATGTGAGTTTTATAACCATGCTATTGACTGGGACAGCCTATACACAACGTTCTTCAAGCGTTGGAATGTTCTGACGTTTGTCACCCCAAATGGTGTACTGTAGCTAACAGTCAGGGCGCGGGGTTGTCAATCCCGTATAGATCTATACACAAACACCATGCTCCCCCTCCAAAGGATTCTAGTATATAATATAGGACTTGAAATGTGTACTCGAACGTACATGAAGTTTAATGTCTCATAAAACTTAGTATGAAACAGATTTACGTATGAAAATGTTCAATTGTTCTTGTATATGAAAGTATCTCCTTGAAATAGTGTTTTTAGTATGTAAAAGTTCATGATGTTCTCGTAAAACTATACCTATTATAGTTTTCCAAAAGTGTGTTTCGTTCGTATAGTAAACCCTAGTGTAATGCTCATTTGTTATGAAAAGTATAACTTTTGTAGTGTCAAAGATGCACACATATACATAAAATATAAACAAAGTGTTTGATTTGTATATATATATATATATATATATATATATATATATATATATATATATATATATATATATATATATATATATATATATAACAACATATTTCATTTCAAAAGACGAGATGTTATCGTGATATATTTTATATACGAAAGTTTCCATATAGTAGTTATAAATCGCATATGATTCACTTGATAAAAAAAGTGTATAATGAAACTTTATGTAACACACGATAATAACCATGTTTTACTTGTATTTCCTCCATTAAAAGCGTATAAATGCATTTATAAAGTATTTAAAAGTGTAGATTATAGGGGTACGAACTCATTTGATAGATCGAAGAAGGTGAGACGAAAACCAATAAGAACTTTGACTAGAGAAAGCGGATTTTCTCAGGATTCTCGGGAATCTCGGGAGCGTAAAATTCCTTCGGGACTTGGGTATGGGAACCTGGGCTTCGGGATATTTATTGCACGGAAAACGAGGCAAAAACGCCAGAAAGATGAGAGGAATTGAGCATTTTCCCCGAAACCCTCACATCCCTTTTATAGGGGTGGGAACCGCCTCGGTATGTTGGGTGTACGTGTGCATCATGCGTGACCGCATCCTCGACTGCCTTGGAGTTCGGATGGGACGGGGGCCTAGCCTCGCATAGGGGGCGATGTGGACGATCCGAGGCCTAGTCCTTGAGTACGCTGGGCGTAACTTGGACTGGCCCGGTGACTCCTCCTTCGGATAATACCGAAATTTGATTTAAATTTAAATTTTTATTATTTAGTAAAATTCAAAAATTCATATCTTCTTCATACGAACTCTGTTTTCGACGTTCTTTATATCCACGCGTAGGTGAGACTATGCTCTACAACTTTTGTTTAGACTCCGTCAGCAAATTTTGAAATTATTTTTATTATTTATTTTTAAAAGATCGGGGTAAGAAAAGTTCGTTAGAAATCCATAACTTCATTATCCGACGTCTGTTTTTGCCAGAATTTTTACCGTTGGAAAACCATTGTCGAGACCTTCGATTCTCATTTAGGTTATTCCGGCCAAAAGTCGCTCGATCTGTGCTTCGAGTTTTTAGCTGTCTATCGCTATGCCGAACTTGAAAAAATCATAACTTCCTTATACGAAGTCAGATTTGGACGTTCTTTTTATGTATGATCACGATTTAATGATATTTAACATAGTAGGTAACCAAATAGAGACTTTTGAACATTTTATTTTCAAAGTTAATTTCATTACATCAAACGAGGTTACAATACTTGCCCTTTCAGACCATTACATAGATTCGAAATATCGGGTTGTCATATCATCCCCCCGTTAGAGCGAATTTCGTTGATGTGCACAAAAGTACTCACTAATTTTAATATTTACACTACTAGAAAAACAGCCTTTTACGACACTCATTGCACGTCGTAAAAGGCTCAGATGACGCGCAAATGCGCGTCAAGGAAGGTCCTGTCATAAAGAGAGACGACGCGCAGTTACGACACGCAATGCGTATCAAGGAAGGCCCTGTCATAAAGGAAGTCGACACGCATTCGCGTATTGTAACCTTACGACGCGCATGTTTATGACACGCAATGCGTATCAAGAAAACCCCTGTCAAGAAAGGCCATGTCATAAATGAAGATGACACACATTTTTGCGTATCATAATTTTAAATGTTTAAAAAAATATATTTTTTATAGATTTACTAATTTTCAAATTAAATTTGCATTTAATGCCTCATAATAGAAAATAAAATATCATATACGTAAAATATAATCCATTTCATAAAATTTAATGTCATATAAAATATCATATACAAACAATAGAATCCATTGCATAATATTTTATTACAAATTTAACATTTTTTTGTTTCTGTACTTTGACAATTTGTGCTGCTGCTGATTCCGGAACCAATCCGTGACTGCATTCCAGAGCTGATTCAGTGGAAAGAGCATTCCAGACTCCATCACTTGAAATTACAAGCCACCCACAAGAAGAAGATAGCTGAAGATCATGAATAAATAAAAGTTGTTAACAAAAAAATGAATAAATTGAGTTTAATTACTAAACTAACCTTCACTTGTTTGACATGAGGAACTGGAATAATGAACTCCTCAACATCTTTATCTCCAATAGATCTTGAAAGGCATAACCCACCTTGTCAGGGGTTTTGAGTCTGAATTTTCAGAGCCAGTCTACTGATGATTGTTAAGAAGAGGAGCAAAATCTAATAATTTTTATGCTGTTTTGGTGCTAAAGGGATCTCTTTTGCAAAGTAGAGTGTCACCAGTGTGCAAAATGTATGAAAAATCTGCAAACATGCCAACATGTTTTGTATTATTTAATATTCCAATTTTCCTTTTGTTAGTTAGAAACATCAGAAGGCTTTTTGGTTGTCAATTTATCAATTTTAAGATATAGTTATATTTAGCTATTAAAAACTCACCACTGCAACTAAAAAGATGCCTTCAGATTTCCACATGCCTCACACCAAGCTATACTTTTCAAGAAAAGAAACCACCTGCCATGGAGAATGATCAAATTAATTAGAAAAAATATGAAAAAAAGTCATATAAAACCATATAATATAATAAGAAGACTTCCGATAGATAATATACGTGTGCCAATTTCCACTAGAACCAGATAGAAACCCTAAGATGTTTCCAATCGCCATCCATGAACAAAATATAATATTTGCTGAGTTCCTCTGATCAGGGCCTATCATAAACAAGCAATGTAAATAAAATACCCAAAAATCATCATCATAAACAAGCAATGTAAATAAAATACCCAAAAATCATCATCATCATCATATCTTGAGAAAACATATTTCTTTCTTCTTTCCTTTCTTACAAAAAGTAAGGTACCCCTGTCCTTGGTCCTATCATCTGATTGTTTTTTTCAGTTTCTGTGAAAAACTTTACCTCTCTCTCCTGTCACACCCACCACAATCATTAATTCATTATTAAATAATATACTCCTAAAAGAAAGAAAAAAAGATAAATTAACTTATGGGAATACCATGTTTTCACTAAAGCTCAAAATTGAAGCCATGTTGCCACACCGATAGCAGTAATTTGGTGCAGACCAAACCTATAAGATGAAGAAAGAAAATGAAACATCAAATTTTTTGATTTTTGGGAGTGAAAAAAGGGTAAAACAGGAAACTTACAGTTACAAGTCGTTTATATTGAAACATGTACTTTAAAGAATTGAATCTCTAAGGTTTTTGTTTGGTTCAAAAGTAAAGTTTAGGTGGATTTCTTCCCGAAGCCACCAATGTTGGCTGCAAAAACAACACTGAGTGTTACGTATACACTTGAAAGGAATTGAAAATATCTACAGTCATACACTTAGTTAGTTACCTGATTAAGGGTGGGATACTTATCTACTTTTTGGATCTTTGTTATCAGAGAACAATCTTTGTTATCAGGTAAGCCTGGTGACACATATGAAGAGTCATGATCATATTTTGCAATCCAGAATGTGTAGTAATCCTTTTCATTGAGGCTCTTGGATAGATTGAAACATAGTTTAGTGTTGTGTTTTCCTTCAGCCCATCGCACATAGACATTATGTCAAGCACCTTGTGGGCGTACATCAGTAACTGACCGAACAGAGACTAATTCGTGTTCATGGCTATACCATCCAAAGCAGCTTTATGAGTAGACAAATTAAGTGTGTGATATATCAACCATTAGTTCCGATATTACATAAGAAAATGATAACAAGTGCAATCACCATGGCCTTTGCATCATTCTTATACCCCTCCAGAGCTGTTGTAGCAATTGTCACCACCTAGTCAAAACAATAGCACACAACAGTGCCACATCAGCATTATCAAATTGCTATCATGAGTAAAAACAAGTACATTTCTCATATCAGTAAAAGAAAAAGAAAAAGGCAAAGTACCTCTCGTTCAAATGGAGGATATCTCCCAAGTCCTGGTGTAGCATTAGCTGAAGCTGAAACTATGTCCGCAAGTACACGATGAACCTGTACTCATTACAAACGATTACATAAATGAAATTAAAAGAATAATAATATTAATAAGAGAAAAGGGGAATTAATTAAAAATGAAAAAACAAAATAATGTGTAGTTTTTTTACCTCGTCAACACAGAGACGTGAGGGCTCTTAATCTGATACATAGCAGAAATCACAGGGACCATTTTGTAATTTATTCTTAATCGATTTTACTGATCACAGCAATGGATCTTGTTGCTATATTAAAAAAATTATATTTTAATAATTCATGAATCCTTGACTGGATTGCAATTTGGGGAAACAAAGATTAGTTGTCCCAGATTACTTACCTTTCCTTGAACACTACTTGGAACAACTTATCACCATGACAAGCTAAATCAACTAGAAACTTTCCCTATTTACATTTTACAACAATACCTATCAATAAATGAAACAATTATACTACATTTCTTAAAAAAAGCATAAAATTAGAATAAAATAATGAAATAGATGAAGAGAAGTTAAAAAATCACGCATATTATAGAACATATCCATATCTAATGCCTGAAGCATTCTAGTTTAATCAACTAGGATAAATGTCTAGCAATGTGATTACATTGCAATAATTTCATGAAGATTATTTATATAGATTTGTTGTTTTGTATAAGGAAATACAATTACCTTCCCAACTAGTATCTCATTAGCATGCTGAACCCCATATACATCAACAGTATCAAAGAATGTAACTCCTCTATTAAAAGCTTCCTTTAGCACTTTGCTGCCTTCTTCCTTAGGGAGAGGATTGTTATAGATACCTGTAAGCCCCATGCAGCCATACCCTAGTATTGAGACTTGTAGAAAAGGAAAATGAGGTTGAATGTATAACGGATCCATATCTAATTTGCAATTTATAAAAATCTTTTCTATCCCTAATCATACAACTTTTTGTCCCAGAATTCAACTACCGAATGCATCAAACCCCCAAATTGGAAGTAGAATATAAACCTAGATAGAATTAAAGAGATGATTTAGGGAGAAAGGTTTTAACAGAAAAGGTAATCGTATCACATACTAGTTTTCTATTATGTTGCCCCATGCAGCCACATGGATAATGTTTTTTGCATGTATCAGACACATAGAAATTCAGAAGCCACATGGATAATGTTTCTTTCCCTTTAGAATTCATGCACATTCTAGTTTTCTATTATGTTGCTCCTTCGTTCCAAACAGAATTACAATTTTTCTATAGGAAAAAGAATCTTTTGAACTACAGATTTGTCAATCTGTCTTGATAATTTTATGGTAACAGTTAAGTAACCCTAAATTTCCAATTTGTTTGTGTTTTGAACCAATTTTTCAAAATTAAGTACTATTCAGAGAATACAAGTCAACATGAGGGGGAGAATCACCAAATCAAGGGCAAAATCGACATAAACAAGCAAAAATTCGAACAGTAGAAAAGAGAATTTAACAATATATATGAAAATTTAGTGAATAATGCCAATTTGAGAGAGACGTGGTTTGAAGTTTCATAAAATCTCATGTTTGAAAGCCCTATGTCGGCTCTTTGGACTGTGGTCTCGATTACTGTAGGTAGAATCACATATTTGTGGGTGCGATCGAGCCCACTAAGTTTTAGATGATATTATCATACCTTCAACACAAGGAAGACGATGTTATTGAGAGGGAGTCTTGTTGTGCGAGACAGATCACAAAGAAGATCTGATGGTCATTAAACCAGACCTAGGGCTTGTAAATTTGAGCATATGTGGCGGTCTCTGTCGAGGTAAGGTTATCCCAAGCTCTCCGGCTAAAAGAGATGAGTCGAGATCGTTGGTAGATGAGGTGAGCCAAGGTAGCGAGCGTTGTAGAGAGCCTTCCCATCTTGAAAAGAACCCTAGAATGATCCCTTCGATTTCAGGGGCAATCTTGTGAGGATTTCAAGAAGGAGAGACTCAGTGAGGTTTTGAATATCGTATGAGAACGTATGAGCAAGGAGAAGATGAAGGCCCTAGGGATTTTTCTTGAGGCGGGGGGATTAATTTTTGGAATCCAATAGGCGGGAGTAATTTTAGTCGATTTCATTTCCCACCTAAAACGCGTGTTTCACTTAAAAATTATAAAGCGACACATTTACACGACGCACATTTTATGAAAGGAGCCCTCCACATTTCTTTTTTTTTTTCTTTTCTGACACTAATTTTAGGACGCGCACAAATACATGTCCTTTATCCTTCAAATTTTGCAAAACTGACATTATCTTTTAGGGCACGTACAAATGCGCATCCTCTATCAGCGAGTGTCATTGTTTGCGCGTCATTAAAGGCTGTTTTTCTAGTAGTGTTATAACCTAACAAACTTAACTAACTATGCACTTATAGGCAGTGTACCTAGTCAGATTACAATATAGCTTGGGTAAGTCGGGTGTCGATCACAGGGAATGGTAGTGAATTAATTTAAAATATTTGATTATAGGTTACAGGTCACACGAAAAGAATAAAGAAGTAATTTAATAAATCTCAAACTAACAATTAATTAACAACTCTCGATAAACTAACAGGAAAGCAAATCTCTTCAGGTACTTTGGTTTAGACAAATTACACCTTAAAAACATAAACAATTGCATACACAAATTCATTTATTCATGTTCACTGATTCCTAAAATGATTAGATTCGCGTTCAGTATAACTAATCCTTTAGCAAACAAGTCAATTCAAACAGTGATCTGTTGATTAAACTAACATGCTTCCTAGTGTTCAGTTCGTATCAAGCAAGACTTGTAAATATAGTTAATCAAATTAGACATTCAATTAACCTCTTGTCGATGGTCATCAAACAAGGCTCACACATTAACTTACTTATTCCCAAGTTAATCCTAGTTTCACATTCGTTATTCCTAGACTTATAATCTTGATGGTCATCAAAGTCATAAGACACAAGCAATCAAGCAGATGTTCATACAACTTAATTTACTTGACAATTAACAGCAAATAATTATCATTAATATGTAAGGATCTTTGAACAAGCTTGAAAAGATAAATTAAACACAAACAAACAATTCAATATAGTAATTAGTCTAACAATCAAAGCTTCATTCAATCATAAACACAAAGTAAAAGGTTTTTACACCTAAATCAGAAACTAAATACAGAATTGTAACACAATGGAATGCTAAACATGGTCACGTTAACAACCCATATGATTACCGACATGTATCCGCTCTCCAACCCTTCCGATCTCCGCTCCCGTTAGCTTAACGGCCTTCCGGCTGCCTTCTAAACCCTCAAAACGGCTTAACAGAAGTTTAATATCGACTAAATTAAGTTGGAAGTTGAATCCCCCCTCCTGGTTAGCTGAAAATCGACCTTTATAACCCTTGTAGCCGACTTACGTACGTTGGGCGTAAGTCGGATTACGCTGGGCGTACTGAAGATTTCTACGCGATTGAGTTTATCCGGTGCCAGCCACTACGCGGGGCGTAACCTAAAATTACGCTGGGCGTAAGTCGAATTTGGTCGTTACGCTTGGCGTACAAGTGTATTACGGGGGCGTAATTGTTCCTCCAACATTTTTAATTTCTTTTAGCTTCTAAGCCCGGTTTCCGCTTCAGTCTTTTCTTTTGTGCTTTATCGACAACGAATAGCTGCAAAACATAATTCAAAACATTCTGAGTACTTTTTAGTTCTAAAAGAGAATAATAAAGGCCAAAATATTAAGATATAATGCATAAAAATATATATAAAAATACACATATCATTCGTCCCGAAATTTAATGTAAGAAAGATACTTGTTAATCAGGGAAAAATATGTGGGTACTTTTGTTTCATCTGATCTTCGCGCTCCCATGTGAATTCAGGTCCTCGCTTGGCGTTCCAGCGAACCTTCACGATGGGTATGCGATTTTGTTTCGTTTGTTTGACCTCCCGGTCCATGATTTCTACCGGTTCTTCCACGAAGTTGAGGCCCTCGTTGATCTCGATATCGTCGAGTGGGATAACAAGAGTCTCATTGGACATACAATTTTCAAGTTCGAGACGTGGAAAGTTGGATGTATGTTACTAAGTTCATGTGGTAGATTGAGTTTGTAAGCTACAGGGACGATCCTAGCGAGGATCTCGAAAGGCCCTACGTATCTTGGATTTAGCTTTCCATGCTTTCCAAAGCGTATCAAGCCTTTCCAGGGTTAGACCTTCAATAGAACGCGGTCTCCTACCTGAAATTCCAAAGGTTTCCTCCTTTTGTCAGTGTAGCTTTTCTGTCGGTCTCTAGAGGCTTTCAATCGTTCACGAATCTGAACGATCTTCTCTGTTGTTTCTCGTATGATTTCCGGATAGGTGAGAGTGCTTTCAGGAATTCGTCCTTTAGCTAATTGTATTCTCAAGTCACAAATACATAGGTACGACGACCAGGTTTTGTGAAGACGGAGCAGTCCAGACTTGTCTTTTATTTTGATTATTCATTATGTTATGAAAGAACACGCTTGTAATTAAAATTATACTATTAATGCAATGGATGATGTTGTTGCTTGTTTACTACTTTGCATTGTTGTGATACTTTACATGACGTCCTCCGTCCCAGAACGTTTCCGCCGTTCTTGGTTTTGGGGTGTGACATGTGGTCTAGAATATTGCGCATAAACTCATCTAATATAAACCCCCTCATCCACTCCTCAAGCTGCTCGGCTCATGAACCTGATCCTGATCCCTCTCCAACTCTTGATCCGTCCAAGAGTCTCTCACACATCACCCTGATGAACACATTACATAACAACCATCAGGATACTCATCACTACTGAGGAATCACACACATACTACATGTTATGTGGTTTTATCTCAGCCCTTCTTGAATCAACTATGGATCCTATGGTTTCAATAGTACGGGCTCATAATACCTTCCACATCTATCTGTACTTTCCTCAAGAATTGCCTCGACTCCACCAAGTTCCTTCACTACTACCCTGTCCCCAGCACTACAGTCATCCTAGGCTTACCCTAGGGAAATCTCCGACCCAACCCAGTCCTCAGCAGTAGAAGGTCTCCTCGTAATGCCAATTAGCCACTACATGAATACCACCACATGTAACGACGCTCGGATAATCCTTCGAGCAAGGGACTCATCCCTACATGGTTAGGACTCAGATAAGAGCCGCACAATAGGGTCAAATCCAACACTCTAAGATTATTTAACCATGATTACATGTGACTTAGCGTATTCAACTAGTAGCTAATTCCCATCACTCAGAGTCCCACAAAGCACAAAGCAAGCAACATTCAAACAAAAGGAAAATATAACCATAACATAATCAAGCAATTCTATCCACATATCAAGAATCTGTACTAGCATGCGGCTCTAAGCTCATATAATCAGGCATAACCTAAACAGGCTATACTACCACTGTCTAACCAATACTAGCATGCATCTCAAGAAACACATAAAAAAGGCATACAAGGCATCCTTCCAAGATCGTTAGCCCTATACTAGCATGTTGATCACAAAATCATATCATAACATAAACTTGTATGGGTAACTTAGGAGAACTTACTTGAGCTTGGCTGATTGCATGCATCACACCTTTTTTTTTCTTTTCAAAGTTCTTTTCTTTTTTCAATCCCTTTTTATAGAATTTATTTTCCTTTGAATTTTTTTTGATACCAAGTCCTCAGTTTGAGTTCAGACACAAACGAGAGTGTGCTCGAATCCCTCAAACCAAGGCTCTGATACCAACTAGTAACAACCCAAAAATCATGACAAAAAATTTATTTTTATAACCTTAATAAAACCATAATTATCAAATATTCATCCATAAAAAGAGTTGACATATCAAATCAGAGTATCATATCAAAACATGTTCTTTTTATTAGAGTAAAACATCCCAGGCTAAAACTTCTTGGTGT